ACTACAAAGGATTTAAAAGATCTGTGCTTTTTTTATTTACCACCTTCATATTTTTTCTTTTTCCCTTTTGAGTAGCCAGACATTCAAAAAACAACTGCATATGCAGAGAAAATTAGAAATTAACTAACATGCCTAGGGAAAGGTACAGGATCAGATAAAAAACAAGAAAACCTTAAGTTTATATTTCAGGCTGATCCTTGGCACAGAGAAAGTCTACAACAATTTAAAGAAATAATGAAAACAGTAAAACAACACACTGTGGGGAAGAGGAGAATGTGATTTCTAGAATTACCACATTATTAGATTCAAATGTCTGGTTTTCAATAACAAGAAAATCACAAGGCATACAATGAAACACAGAAATTGGCCCATTTAAAGAATAAATAAATACATACTGTTCCTGAAAAATATCTGATGGAAGATTCACTAGACAAGGACTTTAAAATAATAGCTTAGGGTTCCTAAAAATGTGAAGAAAGTAAAGAAAATCATGTAAGAACAAAATAGAAATAGCAATAAAGAGCCTAAAAACAAACCAAAAAGAAATTCTGGAGCCAAATAATACAATAACTGAAATGAAAAAAATCAGTGGAGAAATTCAAAGGCAGATTTGAACAAGCAGAAGAAAGAAAAGCAAACTTGAAGATAGTATATTGGAAATTATCAATTCTGAGGAACAGAAAAAAAAAAGATTGGAGAAATGTGAACAGGTATCTATCTAAGGTATCTATCTGTGAGATACCATCAAATGTGCCAACATATGCATTACGGGAGTTCCAGAAGAAGAAAGTAAGTGATAGAATATTCAACAAAGTGATGACAGAAAACTTTCCATATTTGATGAAAGACATGAACATAAACATCCAAGAAGCTCCATAAAGTATAAGTAATAAACCTAAAGAGACCCATACCAATACACATTATAATGAAACTTTGGAAGCCAAAGAGAGAATCTTTTTTTTTTTTTTTTTTTTTTTTTTGGTGCCAGGATTGAACCTGGGGGTACTTAGCCACTAAGCCACACCCCTAGCCCATTTTATATTTATTTTGGGACAGGGTCTTGCTAAGTTGCTTAGGGCCTCAGTAAGTTGATGAGGTGATGAGGCTGGCTTTGAACTTACAATCCTCCTGACCCAAAGAATGAATCTTGAAAACAGCGAAAAGCAATTCATAACATACAAGAGATTATCAGAAGATTTCTTATCAGAAACTTTGAAAGCCAGGCTGATCTATTCAGAGTACCAAAAGAAAAGAACTGTCAACCTATATTCATCATTTTTTTTTCAAAATTAAGGAAGAAATTAAGACTTTCCCAGATAAGCAAAAGTTGAGGAAGTTTGCTACCACTAAACCTGCCATTCAAGGAATGTTCAAAGGAATACTGCAGGTTGAAATGGAAGTACACTAGACAATAGCTAGAAGTCATACAAAAAATAAATATCTCACCAAAGGTACATACATGGGCAATGCTAAAAGTTAGTATTATTGTAACAGCAGTTTGTAACTCTGTTTTTTATTTTCTACATGATTTTAGAGACTAAAACATTTTTAAAAATAATTATTAGTTGCAAAATTTGCATTATTGTAATTTTGATTTGCAACCTATATTTGTTTCTACATAATTTTTAAAAACCTAGTTTTTAAAAAATCATTAGCTAATGTTTTAGAGAACACAGTGTATAGAATGGTAATTTTGTGATATAAGCCATTGAGAGGTAGGGACAGAGCAGTGAAGGAGCACTGTTGTTTTTTGTTTGTTTGTTTGTTTGTTTTGTTTTGTTTTTTGTGTTGCTGAAGTTAAACTGGTTTAAATGGAAATTAAAGTGTTGTAATTATGATGTTAATTGTAATACCAATAGTGACCACACACAAACATACACACACACACACACACACACACACATTATAGAATACACATGAAAAGCAATGAGAAAGGAATTTAAATATTCACTACAAAAAGTCAGTAAAAACACAAAAGAAGATAGTAATGCAGGAAATGAAAGACAAAAAGCTAAAAGACCTATAGAAAAGATTAACAAAATGGTAGAAGTCATTCTTCATCAATGATTATTGTAAATATAAGCGGGTTAAATTCTCCAGTCAAAAGACAGATTGGCCAAAAGGATTCTACAAAAAAAACACAATCCAGTTGTATGCCATATATAAGAGACTTTAGTCCAAAGACAAACAGATTGAAAGAATGGAAAAAGAAAATTCCATGCAAATGGTAACCAAGAGAAAATAGGGGTGGCTAYAGTAATATTAGACAAAATGATTTTAAATCAAAAAAGTTTATAGCAGACAAGGAAGGCCATTATGTAGTAATAAAAAAAAAGTTTGAATACAGCAAGAGAATTTAGCAATCATAAATATTCATACATTTAATAACATCAAAATTTATATGAGGCAAAACCTGACAGAAATGGGAAGAGAAATATACACAGTTCTACAATAGTAGTTGAATACTGTAATCCCCATTCTCAGTAGTGGTTAGAACAACCAGCAAGAAAATAATTAAGGACACAGAGAATATAAGCAACACAATAGACCAACTGGATCAAACAAAACATTCTACCCAACAACGGTAGCATAAAATTCTTCTTGTTGCACATGGAATATTTTCTTCAAGATAGACCACATGTGAGGTCACAAATAAAGCCAAAACATGGAACATAAAGAATGGAAATTTTGACCTAGGGTACAACATAGATGAACCTTGAGGATATTATGCTACAATACATAAGCAAGTCATGAAAAAGTAAAATAAGGTATGATTCCACCTATATGAGGTACATAGAAAGTAGGATAGTGTTTTCTAGGGGATTAGGAGAGAAAGGAATTGGGGAGTTTAAGTTTAGTGGGTATAGAGTTTGAGTTTTAAAATTGGTCAAGATGGTAAATTTAATTTAATAAGAAAAGCTGRGGGGAAATACTGGTCATTAAGAATTAATTCCATCAACTTGTTTTATGTATCGATTCAAAACCTCTTTAAGATTTTGCCCAAAAATCCTCAACTCTTCTTAGAGAATATTCTGGCACTTAGCTTTCCCATAGTTTGAAGTTAATATTAAACCTGAGTGAAAATTCAACCCTATCACTTAATAATGACAAAGAGTATTCATGTTGATTTCTCTGAAATATATATTTATCTTTACAAAATTATTGAGAATTAAACATAATATCTCTTTTTCCTAAATGTGAGTGACTTGCTATAAATGTGTCTTATCTTAAGTGAAAATCACCATGATGCAAAAATCACAGCCATTCCAAATGCAAAGTTTGAGAGCAAGCCTTTATAGCTTTTTAATATTTCCTAAATAAAAACCAGGTGTTTGTGGTAAGACATTGAAATGAAGGATAAGAAAAAGAAACATGCTGCAAGTGAGTTGGAATTGGAGAAATAGACATGTTTAAACATGCTGCAAGTGAGTTGGAATTGGAGAAATAGACATGTTTTGTACTTTCACCTTTCTTCGGAATGCTCTGAGAATGCAGGAATCAGAAATTGAATCACAGTAACTCCATATACTACAAATAACTGTCCCCTCCAGAGTACATAAATGTATTGTACAGCCATGGGGGGCAAATAAATCTCTGTTTGCTTTCACAGGTTAGCACTGACTAGTTTTGTGGCCTGAGATACACCTTTAAACATTCTCATATCTATTGAACAGGAATAATAATCCCTAAGAACCTTTATTATTTTTTTCAAAAGGCATGCTGTGAATCAGTAAGAAAAAGGTGGAAATTCCATTGGAATGTAATAGATATTTCACAAAGTAATTTGAAAAACAAAGAAACTATAACCAAATCAGAGTAAATTAAACCAATGATATTTTCTCCTTCTATGTGATTGACAATAATTGAATATTTGTCATTTTAGATATTAGGAGACCATATTTAACAGCCATCCAAGGGCCACTTAAAATTAATTAAGTTAAATAGTTGGGCAGGGCTTAGATCCTGCTACTCAGAGAAGATTTGGAGCTATTCTGGTGACAAGGAGCTTTGAGAATTTGTTCTCATTTATACAATTCACCAGAAATTTGGGGGCAACTAATGTTATAGATGACCACACAAGAAAAAAAACAAAGATGTAAAGATGAGGGCAGAGAAGATGAGGATGATGTCTTGAACACTCTAGAGTATGCACTGAATAATGTTCACTGAATTCCAAGGTAGGTGGGGCAAATGAATTAGGAAGCCTTATTTACATGTTATAAACAGTGAAGTCATTACTCCATAGTAGTTGTTAAGAGCTTACACAATAAAAATATAAATTTTATATGAAATATAAATTTTATATGTGATAATATCAACAACTGAAATTAAGGTGGTGATAGGCTTTTCTAAACTCACACACGCCCATGTTATAGAAAGAATATTTATTAAGCAGTTACATATGGAACCTGGAATGGTAAAATTATCACATTCTTTTTAGTTGAGAGTTATTCTTTTTATTGTAGAATACAAAGGATAACCAAGAATGGCATGCAAACATGATTCTGTTTGCCTATCTGGCTCTGGAATCAAGGACTCTGAGTTCCTTGCTGGAGAAGTTTCATCTCCCTCCCCTTTGGCTAGTGGGTCCCCATTGATGATATTTGGAGAATACTATTTTGGATTTTCATAATTGGTAGCAATCCTAGGGTTAGAATGCTTCCATTCTTCAGTTAAACCAAAGCTATAAACCACTTAAAGCCATAGGAAACAAAGTTGAAAATAGAAGGCCCTAGCTGGTTATTTCATATATGAAAAGCTTTGATTCATCTGTTGGTGTGCAGCTGTGGGTCCACTCCACTTCCCTTCCTCATTTAGTCAGTGAAAARGGCCACTTTAGACAGAACCCAGTTCATTAGCAACCCAGAGCAAGCATTTCAGTGGGTGACCATGCTGGACCCCTGGTAGGAAGTGGTTTCTGATGTGTTTTTCATGTTCACTCAGAACACCTAAACATGAGGTCTCTCCCTGACTCTCCTCCACCTCTCTGTTCTCCTCAGGACTACTGGCTCTCTCTCCTTTACAAGCGCCTGATCGGCCCCAAAGTTTTGGCCGTGCATGTGGCTGGGCTCCAGCGGAAGCCAAGGCCAGGCCGAGTGATCCGGGACAAACTAAGGATTTATGCTCACTGCACAAACCACCACAAGTAAGTCTTAACAGAGAGGGAACAGAAAGGCCACCATGGCTCTGCCCCCATTTGGTATACCTTCAAGGAATATTTATGTTCATTATTCGTAGTTAAAAACTGCCTCTAGAATCACCATACTCTGCAGGTTTTAAATGATTTTTGATAAGTAGATTTTTCTCCAAGTCAACTCCCCTTCTCATATTTACAGGATTTATTCATAAAAGGTTAATAAAATACATGCTATTCATTCATTTGCTTATTCATCCAATAAATTTTTATTGGCCATTTTCTCTGTGCCAGTTGATATAATGCCCACAAGGTTTTTTCTGTGTGCGTAAGACTCAGGCAAGGTGAGTGGCCAAATCTCACCCTATGATCCACCAGCAGAATTTGAGAAAATAAGTTTCCATTTCTAAGATGTATGCTGGAGAGCTACACCACTAGAATCCTAGCCCTAGACCAGACTTTCTCAAACTGGAGTCCCTAGAACTAAACGAGTACCCAAAGGTAGTCATGTCAGCTTTAGAGCCATTTCAGTATTTCAAAAATCTTCTTCATTATTTTAAGTGTTAAAAGGCTAAATAAAATGTAGGCTTCTTTTTCGGGGGGATGGGGGTGCTCACATGTATAACAATCCAGTGAGGTAATATGGTGTTATCATTAGAGTTGTCTTTAAAATAAATAGGAAAATTAATTATCAGTAAATAAAGTTTGCCAGGTAAAAATTTTAAAACATTTAGACCATAAGGGAAAAACATAAAACTGGGCCTAAAGCAAAACTCATCTGGCCAAGTAGGTCTTTCTGACATAACTTCCTGTTTAAGGCAAAGTAAGCTGCTCTGGACAAGAGAATTCTTTCTCTTACTGCAGAGAAAAACCTTGGGGCAGGGACAGGTAGCTAGTGCCTCCTGCTAGACCTCCATTCCTGGGCCTATCAGGACTGATCAAGTGGAGGGGAAGCCAAAGAGCTGCCATGGTCAGATTACACCAGATGCTACTTCTCTGTCCTTGATGAGACAGGAGCCAAGCCAGTTAATTCCTCATGATAAGCTATTTCAAAGAAGCACTCTGAGCAGTGGGGGTTGGGGGCAGTTGTCATGCCTGTAGATACAAGTGCCTATTGTAGGTGAGGGGAGGCTGTTTGGGCAGAGGCCAGAAGCTTTCAACATCCCTTTTGCTCAGCAGGAAGCTCGATCCCATATCTGACAGAGAGTGACTGCTTTATGGCCTTGGCCTGAAGTTATCTGATCATCACACAAGGCAGCATTGTATTTCTTGTCTCTGCCTAGCCCTGAGGTAACCACCCAAAGGTGGACCCCCAGCCTCAAGACAGAAAAATTGATCTTTGCACCTTCGTCCCTGTTGGAAAACACACCAGGCTGTGGTCTTTTCCCTGAGGACCCAGGGAAAAACTGTCAGTAGCCTTATGGATTTAGCAGGCGTTGTATGTCCTCAGGGAGGGCCACTCACATGGTCTCAAGTCAATGTTCATTCCAGTGTTCTTTGACATTCTCATGGAAGTTGTTACAATATTCTCGGGATACCATGAACCCTGGGCCAGTGTCTCATTCATTTTTATAAACTTGATGTCAAATATAGTGACTGGCATGAAAAAGGTCTTATAAATATTTGATAAATAAAAGAAAGACTGGACAAATGTAGAAATAGGGCTTTGAGATGTTACTGCTGGTTAATGGCTCTTTCCTCTGTGGTGTCACCACATTAGCCAGGGAAGGTGGTGTGGTAGAATGGTTAGGAGTTCTCCCATTTACTACCATGAGACCTCGAACAAGTGAGTAAAATCATCAGGATTGGATCCTCTCTCTCTCCATCCTGGCTGACCTCCACTTTCTATGGGAAGTCACTGAGGAACCTTTCCGGGGAAGAGGTGCCACTAGGTTTCTATCAATTCCTCTTCCATTCCCTGTTAAAAAGAAAGAAAGAAAAAAGCTTTCATAATCCATGTCACATGTGATGCTAAGGATAAAAAAAAAATGAGGCAAAGGTCTTCTTGTTCCTATTAGGTCTGGAAGGAAAGACCACAGTGGACCCACTGAGCCACAGAGGTTGCAGGTCTCCTCCCTGTGGTGGGTGCAGGTGCCTGGAGAGGTTTGTGCCCCCACATCCATCTTCCACAATCATCATTAGGAAGCTCTACTGACTCATTTAGTTCAGGTGTGGCCAAAAAAGCCAATCACAGAATTATCCCAAAGTGAGCATGTTCCTTTCATGCAAATCAGCCTTGACCAGTACTCTGAAAATGAATGTCCTGGGACAAAACAGGAATTGGATGAAAAAGTATAAACTTACTAGTAAAGCAATCCAAAGAAAGTGTCTATTAGAACAACAACTCCTACACTCCAGGGTGTATTGGACACTTGCTCTGTGACAAGCATCCTGCCAGATGTTTGCATTTACATTATCTTCTTGAGTTCTTAGGGTTCTGTGGTATCACCCCAGTACGTGAATAACAGCATTAATGATGCAAAGAAGAGAATTCTTAAAGGCCATTTGTCCCAATGCTCTATTGAACACAGGAGTCCTTTGTCTCCTTGAAATTCAGACATAAAACACTGACTTGGACACCTCACCACCTCTGAGGGAAGCCTCTTGCATTGAGGATCATTTCTGACCTAGCAGAACCTTGTCTCGTAATTGATTTAGGGAACAAAGCTGCTCATATCAACACCAGCAGGTGCTTTTCTGCTTTCTGCTCTGGAATTAACAAATTAGGACATGGGCAGAATGGCAGATCTTGTTCAGAGAACAATAAAGTTTTGACAGAGAAATCTTTTTATGAGCCATTCTGCTGAGACAATGTATGTTTCTGGGGTGGAATTGAGGTCCTTAGCCAAGTTTAGAACCAGTTGGAACCTGGTGGATGTTGAAGCAAACTTGAGCCTTTTGGGGTTCAAGTTCGTTTATTATTGGCAAAACACAACTTCCTGTTTTTCAGAAGAAATTTTTTTAAAGGCTCATAAAAAAGGTTCCTGAGGCTTCTTGGACATCAAATGACTGTTACAAAACAATATTTTGATGAGTTAAGTGTAAATGAATCAGAAACATGTGGATTAAATTTCCCTTAAAATACACAGGGGCTTTGAAATTAAGGGGAAAAATGTTTGGCAAAACAGGACCTGACTTTTACCGAACCCAAAACCTTTGAATTAGATTTGGAGACAATGGAGCAACCCAGTTTTCAAGCACATTGCCTTTCACTGGGAATGACCATGGACTGCAGAGCATCATCCTCTCTTCCTTTTCCCAGACTCCTAGCTTCACTGGAGATGTTTCTAGAACACAACTGTTTTCTATCTGGAACTCAAGATGCACTTCCCATATGACATCTCCCACCTCTTACTTTCAAGATATTCTGAGTACAGCCTCCCTTCCCTGACTCACTTCCTCCTCCTCCCATGGTAACACAGAGAAGATGTCAGKCAGGAAAGGAGCAGCCAGAAAAGATGAACTCCAGATACATGGATTGGCTGCTGGCGAAAAAGTTTCACCATGAGTGAGACATGGAGTAAGAGAGAAGTTCTATAGAGACAGTTTCTCTCCGGAAAGGGGCATTTACTGAGAAAACCAAAAGCCACCTAGACCTGACAACATCAGGAGTCAAAATGGCCTGCTGACCAAGCCTTCAGACACCAATTTCTTAAGAAACAGATACTCTCCAGGGTTAGTTTTCTATAGCAGAGAATATGCATTCTTCAAGAATCTGCATTCTCCACACATACTGTCAGGTTAATGTCATCCCCAGCCAAGCATGTGTCTTTGTAGCCATAAGTCCTCTGCTTCATGTCTTTGCCCCTCAGCCAGGCAGGGCGAGGGATGGCTGAGGCAGTGCCAATTCCTACCTTAGGAGGCTCCTGAGGAGTTCTGTGAGAGCCTGTGCACTTTAGTCCCCCAGGCTGTATGGGTTTGTCTCCCCCAGGGGATCTATGTAAATGGAAATCAGACCACTGCCAAGCAGCTTGAAAAGACAACTTTCCTGCAGCAATGCTGTGATTTCAGGTCTCTCTCCCACCCACCACTTCCCCACATTCCCACCCTTCTTTCTGAAGTCTCCAAGGGCTCGTTCTGCCCCAGCTCTGCAGAGGAGAAACTCATAAATGCAAGCATGTGGCTCTCTCCTCCTCCAGTGCTGGCTTTTGAGAGTGTTGTTTGATAGTTTGCAAAAGGGAATTACTGCAGTCTGGCAAAACTGGTGCCCACCATGCCTATTTTGCTCACACTCTAAAGCCCAGAGCACCTGCAGCTAATGGTATCTTCCTCAAGTTTCCATGTTAGCTAAGCTGAGTTGGAAGCCCAAGAGAAATCTAGTTGGTATTCTTCTTTAGTGATGGTCAGCACCAACACAGACCACCAATATCTTTCTTTAGAGCTCTGGTGACACAAGTCTGCTCACATCATTGATATTCTCTTCTGACTCATGTAGCTACAAAAGCTAGTTCATGTGCTCTAGGGGATTCCAAAAGACTGGCAGAGGAGGTACTACTGCATAGGAGAATCATTTAATAACTTATCAGAACATAAATGCAGTCATCCAGAAATCTTTGAACACAATATTGTTCCCTCCTAAGAATGCAAAAAGGATCATCTGATGCACAGCCAGCAGAATATTCTGGGAATTCTCCTCATAATTTTAAATGGAGTGTTCGAAGTGAGTGTAAGCGCATGACACACAAATGACAGAGGCATGAAGCAGATCCCAGATCAGCAAGCATCTCTTTATTCAGTGGAAAGGTCCATTTGACAAATACCTGGTGTGGCTCATTTTCAGGGATAAAATGGCTGCTGGCCACGAGGTTCTGGGCTTTATATACAGCCTTAGCAGAGCCAGGCCATGGGACCAGTTTTGGTGGCAGAATCATTCAGGCCAGGGTGGAAAGACAGGTAGGTAACCTTATCCTTTGGTAAGAGGTTATCAAACCTAAATCATTGACCAAATATCTCAGAAAGACTTTTTAAAATACAGGTTCACAGGCCACAAACCTAAATGGATTGAATCCGAATCTCTAGGGAATAGCCTTGCAATCTTGCATGTCTTTTAAAAATTCCAAGTTGACCTGCCCTTGACTGCTCAACTCTTAATTAGCACCTTTAGAAGCAGAGATGAGTGACCCAGGGAACCAGGGGTGCTACGTCGACAAGGAACACTGTTCTCCTCTGGGCAAAGTTGACTTAGAGTTTCTCTGAACTCCTTCTTTGAAGATGGGACTGGGTCATTTTTCTCTGTTTCCTCTCATTAACCCATCCAGATGGGGCCCTCAGGGACCCCTGAGAAACAAGGCTTTTTTTTTTTTTTCTTTTTCTGCTGAGAGAAGGAAATCATTATAGTGTCATCAGTGCTTGCTGAAAAGTTCTTACACATAACATATAGCTCTTTTAGGCTTCTGGACATCCTGTGCAGGTTTAAAAGAAATCAAAATGGTGAATAGTTTATAATCTTGAGGCAGGTAAAATAGCAAAAGCAGGAGTCAACAAAGATAAATAAATTCAACTACACAAAATTTCTTAACTTTTATATATCAGAATACAATGTAAACAAACTGAAATGCTCAAAGAAAACTGGGTTAATCTGGGTTAATCTTGTATACAATGGTTTGCTGTGTTTAATAAGTACATAGTTTTCATAAATGAATAGGAAAATGGGCAAAAGACATGAACAGGCAGTTTACAAAAGAGGAAAGGCAAGGCAATGGAAATGGGCAAATGAAGAAATGCTGCACCTTACTATGAATTGGAAAAAATACAAATTAATAAAACATCAAGATCCCATTTTCACCTCTCAGGTTGACAGGGTATTTTAAAAGGTTAATATTTGATACTCTTAAAGTATGAGAAAATGGGTGCTCTCATTCAGAGGCTGGTAGAAACAAATGGTTGCAAAATTTCTAGAGAGTTAACATTACCAAAATGTGTGTACCCATCAGGATAAGTGAGGTTATGCTGTGATAACAAAGAACCCCCAAAATCTCCACAGCTTTCAATAAAGATGGTTATTTCTGATTCATACTATTTGTCCACCATGGCCCCCCTGTAGCTCTGTTTTGCATAATCTTTATTCCAACACCCAGGCATAGCCTCTGTCAAAACATTGTCAGTCTTCTGGCAGAGAAAAAAATTAGGGGCAAAAACATAGGCTGGCCTCTAAAGCTTCTGCCCAGAGGTCTTAGCATCCACTCGCATTTCACTGGACAAGGCAAATTATGTGATCACTTTGGGGTTCAGCAGATCAAGGACGTAAAATCTTCTCATGGGGAGRGCACCATTAGAAATAGACTGGAACGTTTGGTGACAAAACATACAATGTGCTTTCCCTTGGCCTAATATTACAACTTCTAAGAGTTTATCTATCAGAAATAATAATGATTTCCAAAAAGTTTATGTACAATTAAGCTTTTCATGACATAATTTATAATGGCAAAAAATTGAAAGCAACAGAAGTTCAAAAAAGTAGGGGATTAGCTAAATAAATGATGTTACATTTCTATGGTTGAAAAATTTACAAGTAGAAGAATATATAATAGCATGAGAACATGTTTAAGATTATTGTTAACTGAAAAAAGCTGTATGAATAATGTGATCCCAATTACATAAAAACTGAGTAATATATTTGTATGTGTCAATGTACTTAATAAATATTTTTCAAACTAAAAAAATACTGCAAGAATATTTTCCAAAATGTTGTCATATCTCAAGATTAAATGATTATGGGGAATCTTCATTGTATTTTTATATATTTTTCTAGGTTTGTTTGTTTGCAATAATCATGTTTTACTTCCATACTTAGAAAATATATGTATTTCTATATACATATATCTATATATCTGTTTTTTTTCTAAAATCATTGCAGTACATTTTTTAAAATACAAGAAATGTGGTGGGAAGCAGGTATCTTCTCAGGAAACCACAATATCAAGGCCTTCCTGTCTTGAAGGTCTGTTGTGACAAAGAGCCATAAAACCAGTGTCCTTTTCTGGSGTGGTCCTCTTTTGTAAAGCATATAAATAATTTAGGAGCATCTAACTGACCACTTTGTTTCCATCTTTTCCCTTCTGTCTTTTCTGGATCTCAGCCACAACTATGTTCGTGGCTCCATTACACTGTTTATTATCAACCTGCATCGATCAAGAAAGAAAATCAAACTGGCTGGAACTCTCAGGGACAAGCTCGTGCACCAGTATCTGCTGCAGCCCTATGGGCAGGAGGGCCTGAAGTCCAAGTAAGTGCAAACCTGGAAATAACTTAGGAGTAAGTGTGGCAGGAGCTGAGCGGGGAGGAAGCTGGAGTTAACCCATTGCTGATGGTAGTGGTTTGCTCTGGGCTTCAGTGGCATAGAGTAGAACAAAGAGTGGTCTAGAGTCAGAAAACTGCTGACTTTCAGCAGCGTGGGTCAAGCCCATCTTTGTCTCTAGGTTTAGTACAGTCAAGGCAAGTGGTGGACAAAATATTTATCAACAAGGGTACTCTTGAAATTTGAGCAAGGCAGTTCTTCATCATGTCAGGTTATCACACTGCCAGCTACTTAGCATCCTTGGCACCTGCCCACTACATGCCAATGATGCCCCTGGTCACGTGACCACCCAAAGTCCTGGTAGTTGATTACAGTGTCCCCTCCAGCTGTAACATTCTGTAATGTTATGACCCCYTTTCATCACCATCTACAAGCCTCATGAGTGTTAAAGGAAGAAGCATGGAAAAGGGGTCAACGGTTTTGTCCCCCACTTTACAACTTTGGGCACATCACAGCTCAATCTCAGTTTCTCCATCTAAACAAAAGCAGAGAGATTATATTCTGTAGACTCTGTGGCCCTTTCAAACTGTAAAATTCCATGAGACCTCCTACTTCCCTCAGTCTCTGCTACAGCATATTGACAACACTACTCTACCAACAGAAAGCAGTTCCCCCCAGAGTGAGAAGGACCTGGTCAAGGGCAAGGCCATCCCCAGCTCCCTGAGCAAGGCCTCTCAGGAAAGGCATGGGATGCTCTGCAGACTGGGGGCGTTCCTGTTCCATTTCTAATGTTTACCAAGTTTAACAAAGCTGTAAACTTGGAGCAGGTGGCTTGCACTCCCACAGCTGCCCACAAATATTTGTGCTATAATTGTTCACTGTTTCACTGCAACCTTGGTGGCTTGCATTTGGCTTCCAACTGTATGTGCAATGGGAACAAAACACAATCTGGGAAGTCACTTACTGAGTCTCTTTAGCCCACCCTAGATCTGTATTTTCACATACTGGCTTTTTTCCCCTGGCTTCACGTCCATGGCCTCCACTTTTCTTTCTTCCCAATTCTACCTATAGCAGCAGGATTTTTGAGTATTTTTGTCCCTTCTCTCTCAACTTCCCAGTAGTTTATGACTGGTATGCTTAATTCCCAGCCTTTATCCTAGGCAGGAGACCCAGTTCTAGTCCCAGTTTCACCATAAAATAATTGTATGACCTGAGCAAATCCTCATCTCTTGGCCTCAGTTTCCACACCTGCAAAATTCAAAGATTACTGTATATTTGGAAACACCCTTCATAGCCCTAAAACTCTCATCCTGGGCCTGATTTCCTGAGGACCATGAATGCATTAAAGTCTCCTGCTACCATTCAATAATGTCCTGCAAAGCCATTTCTGGCAGAATGACTGACTCATCTGCAGTGATTATAACAGGTTAAGGCTCCCAGAAATCAAAGAGCTTAGGAACTGAGCCTGCCCAGTGTCAGGAAGACCATGTACACTACATGGAGGCAACTGGCCAAGTGTTTTGGTCTAACAGGTCAAGCTGTCTAACAGGTCAAGAGTCCTAAACACGTCTCTAAGTCTGTTCCTCTCCTAAAAACTACTAATATATCACCTCTCCTGCTCTAGAACGCAGTGGCTTTACCCTGTGATATGCCATCTTGGGCTATAAGCTTCTGGGCAGAGACTGTCAGGTGCATGTCCAACACCATGTCCAGTGTTCTGCTCAGTAACTACTGAAGAGCAGGAGTCTTCAGTGGTTCTGGCTGGGGGTCTCTAGAAAGGGTGTGGTTTCAATGAAACAGACATGAAGAGAAAAATGAAAGGAAATAAAATAAAGTGGTTTCAGTCTTGGATGTCTCTTGCTTTTGTAAGCCTCTGGGGCCAAACTCTTTGTTCTAAGTCTGCTAGTTCCTTGAATCCTGAAGCCACATTAGTTCAGAAATGGATGGAAAGTTCTGGGAGTGAGGGAACATGCAATTGCTCCTATCCGGAGGCACCAGGAAAAGGATATAGACCAAGTAGTGCCCTATTCAAGCCACCAGTTAGGCATTTTGGACTAGGATTTCAGAAGTAGAAAGATACCTGAAAATGTTTTTGATTGGTTGAGGTAGARTGATTCTCATTTTCTTAGAATTGCCATCCAGGGTGTAAAGATTTGAAATCTCTGAAAGGGTTTCTCCATGTGAACTCAGAACTAAGGTATGTCAGCTCTCACAGGAAGCACCCTGGGCCACTAATCAGACACAGGCTAGGCATCTGGATTCACAAAGAAGGTTCCTGCTTCCTGTCTCAGTGGTGAGCCAGTCATAAGACCTCACACACAAATCTCAACTCTTTACATAAGAGATTTTTCTCCTTCTAGGAACCAGACAAAAGGTGGGTGCTTTTTACCCTAGAGGATAGAGGTTTTAGAAACTGCAATAATGAGTGCAAGAGAAGGGTATTCTGCATCTGGAATACATATTTGTCAAGGAATGGCTGACGGCAATGGGGATATTTTGTTCAGAGAAGAAAAGTAAAGTGACTCGTGAGGACTTCTTTTCAGATACTCACAGAACTGCCAGGCAAAAGTAAACAGATTTGGCCTAGAATACTCCAAAATGGCACAAAAACAAGGAGTTCAATTTAAAAGAGAGATTTTGCTAAAAAAAAAAAAAAAATGAATTCATTTTCCAAAGGCTCACCTTGTCTGACCACAGAGGAGGCTTTGGGGAGGTGAGAAAGAGGGCAGTATCTCCAGAGGTGCTCTGATTCCTTCCTGGGTGGGAGGTTGGGTAGGAGTGCCACTCCCTTCCAGCTCTAGAATTATATAATCTTCTCTTCTATTCCCCTCTACACCTGCTCCCAGAGGAGAAGTCTCTCTGGTCACTAGCAAAGGAGCTTCTTCAAGCCACTAAAGGACCACACAAAGAGGTTGTGCTACAAGAGCAAATTGTGGTAATATCTGGCTAATTGTTTTTCTAGAAAACCCCCAGCTGTGAGTTCCTCCCTGGCCATGTTCCCTGGTTTCACACCTTTCTGGAAGATGGCCCCATTTGCACCAGGAAATAGTTTCATTATGGATAAGTCAGAGGAGAGGAGCACCTTTGGGGAAGCTCTATCATGTACAAAAGAGAAAATCATGTAATCACAAATCAAGAAACATCATCCTCTAGGGAATGAGTTCTACCTGAGACATAAATATCCCCTATGTTGTTCAACAAATAGAAGCAATATGAATCTGTACCCCCCCCAAAAAAAAGCCAATTTATATCCAAAAATAGAAGACTTCTTGGTGCTCACTTTCCCAGGGAAAAGTCAAACCCAGAATAGATGGTAGATCAGATCCTAGGGTTCTTCCCTGTGTGTCTTGCTCAATCCCATTTGGTGGGAAAAATAATCCAAAAGATAAGGAAAAAAAGGAAACAACATTCATCACATTGGCTGTTGTAACACACTGACCTTAGTGGATGCTAAGTATTCTGAAGTGAAATGACATTTTGAAGTAATTGGTTCAATCCCCTGCCCTCAGACAATCTGTGAGAAGCTATCTGAACCAGAGGATGCTCTGTGTGTAGAGAAACTAGGGAATAGAGTGGCCATAATTTCAATCTATTTGAGTGCTTCATCATATAATAACACAGGGACCCACTATCCCTATGGCTGTGACTCTATGGATATTAGCTTTAATAGCCAGTATCTCACTGAACCTCTGAACAATACCATGAAGCATGTAGAATAATTCTTGTCTCCCTTCCAGTTAAAGAAACTTAGTCTTAGATCATTAAGTGACATATTCAAGCATTCAGTTCTCCTTACTTCTAATCCAGAGCACTTTCTTCAACAGTGTGTTACTCCAACAGTCCAGTAACAAAATTATAATTACAGAGGACACATAGTTTGGATAACTGAACTCTGTCACGACGTTGTCTGGGTTCATTTCATTGTAAGCTCATTAGAGAATGAGTACATTGGAAGAGTATAAGGTTGCCTCTCTTTTCTCTCCTCCAGGCTAATTCATTCTAGTTTCATTAAATTTTCTTCTCAGGTCCTGGTTTCTGATCTTTCTTAGAAGTTCTCTGAGCTGTTTCTAAAACTACCTTCCTGTCATGGAATTCTAATAAAAGCAATTTTTTCCCCTCAGCAAAACTGGGGAAGTCCTTTCTGTTTCTTCTATTCTGTTAGACAAAGGGATTATTAAATACCAGGACGTACTATAAAGCAGTTTAATATGAGGTCCATAAAAATCAATCTCAGTGTATTATATTCCAACCCCATACATACAGGTATTGCCAGCTCCCCTATACCTAATGGAACCACCCTCAGAGGTATATTTCTGAGAGAAAGACACCAATAGGGGAGACTTTGGGGGAAACTGGAAAGCATATATCTTCGTCCAAATATCAATTTTGTATTGAGATCCTATCTTATGCTAGACATGGTTTGTTTTTTCAGCAATCTAACTTGAAGTGACAGTTAACTCTGACTGCAATCTTAAAAGAATGGTGGTCTTATAACTTGAAGTGCTCAGGAATTATAGGTAGACAAATTGGGAGAAAAGTCTGAATGTCAAGTTCAATATGAATGCTCCAGATCAGTATGTCCCTTGATCTTCCTAATGCTAAATCACACCATCACCTGATCTGCAAGAGTTATTTAATGTGTAGTGCTTAGGGGTGAGGCTGGGGGAGTGGATTCTGAGGCCCCTACCTTCAAAGAACTTATCCCTATTATTAGAAACAAACATCTAACAGGAAGCAACTTGTGGGTGGTGCCATAATAGAGGCTCAGAATTTCTGCTTTTGGGCTAATAGGTTCCATATTAAGGCTTGAACTTGCTATCTGCTTGAGCCTCCTCTTCATCCACCACGAGTTTGGCTGAAAGACTCTCAAGGCCTCTATAAACCCAGAGCCTACTCTTGAAGAAATGAAAATTTTCTTTTTCTTCTTTTTCCACATACTGCTCATTTTTTCCATCTCTCTGAGATATATAACTTTTGCTTTGATTTCA